TCCACCCGACCGTATGTGTATGTCCATAGGTATGCACACACAACACACGTATATATATGTATATATATATATACATAGGTCTTCTTTGTTTATTGCTTCTTTATGCATTTATTTATCCAGCATGTAAAACATGTCTGCATAAATCGGTGAAAGGTATATCAAGAGTAGATATGCATGGAAGCATCAAGGGTACTGTACTTGCTGGTTGAGCCTTTGGTAAGGTGCAGCAACGGATCTTGGACATTTTATGGGCTTGCCAACAGAATGTGCGGGGTCGGTTTCGCTTTGGACCCCCCACGAAAGGGTAGCCGGCAGGGTGAAAGACGCATGGGCGCTTGGGCTTTCCACCCAGGTGCTTCTTCAAAAGTAGCGTGAGTACGCGTAGAATGGCAACCCCCGCACAGGGGGGAGGGTAGTGGGAAGGCCCAATCTTCCTTAGAGGTTATTTTTGGTTTTCTTGGGGCTTGGGGTGTCTGAGGTTTGCTAGGGCCCAGGGAGAGGCCTAGGCATCCTTGAGATGTTGCATGTGCTCAGCAGGGCAGAGGTTGTGCCGCCTTGCCAAGCTGTAGCTTGTTTAAGGTTGCCTCCCGGCGCGTTTTGTGACAAACTCATTTGGGGAAGGTCAGCGCTTGCTTCTCTTTGCGCCACGGGTTTGTCTTTGGGGTGCGTCATGTCGATATTGAATTCTGGTGTTGCAGCTTGCTGCTATTCAGCAAACATACTGTTGAAGACAAGCCGGGCGGATTCATTGAACAGTGGTTTTATTAAATTTCCATTGCTAGCTTTCGAGCCCTAAGTTCCAGGCAAGTGGCATGTGCCCATAGCCACGTGCCACTTGCCATGTGCCGCTTGCTGCGAGGAGGATGTGGGAGAGCTGAAGGCGATTTGGAGGCGCATGTTGCCAGAGAGCGCTGAAGCTCCATCTGAGTTGGGTGTGTGCGTGCGTGTGCATGTTTTAAAGGGTGCCTTTTGTTGGTTGTTTCGCGGGGAACCACAGCACAGCCGGAGCCTGTTGTTGGGGGGTCTAGGAGCTGCACCCTTGCCAATTGCATAATGTGGTTCTTTACCAAAGCAAGCTGCTGCGAGGAGTGAATCAGCAGCTCGGATGTGAGAGACCTCCAGCTAGGAAGCAACACGCGCCATCGGACCGTCGGAGGGTTGTAGCCCGCGGGGGCCGCAGGGGCAGGAGAGTATGTGACTTCCCTTTGAGCCACTGCCAAAACAGATACCACGGCCTACATGAGATTGCGATCTAAGCCCAATTCCCTCATGATCACGGGAGTTGTGGCCCCTGTCACAAACTCCCAAAAGAAAGGAGTGGCAACCGTCGGCCCGTCAATAACCGCAGGCGCTACAGGGACGACCTCACAGCTCCCCGCTTCCAGAAGAAGCCAAAGCTGCCGGGCCGAATCCGCGTTTTCCCCAGGTAGGCTCGGTCCAGTTTGTCTGCTTCGTCTATCCATTTGGGAAAACATACGGATGGGGAAGCCCGTTTTTGGATATAACCATCTTCTGGAACGGGCGCTCTAAGTTTGCCCGCCAGAAAAACAGCCCGAATTGTCCCCCAAACAATAAGCAAGTTTGATCGAATCCTTGTGACAGATGGTATTGGTCCTCTCTTGTTGCCATGGTGTCCCACTGCAGGTTATGGATTAGGATGAGGCCGCCCCCACTTTGAACAACTCAGATAGCGACCCCCTTCTTGCATGGTTTGCGATTGGAAAGGCAAGCAACATGGAAGCAATTGCCTGGATGGGCGGGCCTCATTTGGAGTCAGCATGATCAATGGACCTGACCCAAATGCTAGATTTCCTGATTGCTTGAAGTGACCGCTGGTAGATCACTAGCGAACGACATGCAACACATCATTTTTGCTCGCACCACGTACACACATACATATACATACACATTTACACATTCGCTGCTAGCAACCCCAATGGGGTTGCAAACGCGCTTGCAAACATGCATACATATCTAGCTTGGACTGGGTGTGCTTAGTTGTTAATTTACTTCGCACTTTGTTGACTTCTATTTGGAGGGTGTAAATGCAATGTGTGCAGCTTTGACACTGTTTTCGCTAAGGGTTCAGGATTGCTCAGCTTGAATACATTTAGCGGAAGCATTTCACAGTTGAAGCAACGCTTTCGCGCCAGGCAAACTTCAACACCCATGATTTGCGAGTCCGTATGTGGAGTCAAAGTGCCTGTTTGGCCAAGGGCTATTCAGCAAGTTTCCCAGACTTCGGTGGGTTGAGAGCAAGCTATTTCCCCACAAAGTGATTTGAATTGCCTCTTTAAGTTGAACCTTAAAAGAAAAAAAGAACAAGCAGCAAACCAACCGGGGCCCTTTGAATTCTGGGTTTGCCGGATTCTTCATTCTGCGTGCGCCATGAGGTTCTCGGACAAGGAGTTTGACACCCTGTACAGACATGCCAACAAGGTGGTCAGCGCGATGGTTGCGGAGTACAAGGTTCCAATGGTCCTTGACCAAGCCACCATCAGCACCTTGCTGCAAGCGCGCTTTGCCACTCGTAAGGAGGTCTCTACCCCCTCAAAAGGAGTTGGGGAAGGGCTTCGCCCATTACCTGAGCTCCAGTTTCCCGGGAAGGCACTGAAGGCGCGTGCAGCTACTTTTGCGACTTTGCGCATCATGAGAACCTTGCTGGCAGCACAGTTGGTTACATGTGAGGCAGATGTGACGAGCCCTAGTAGGCTCAGCTTGGGGTTCCTTGCGCGGTGGAAATTGGGATGCGTCACAGGCCGCACGAGGGAGAGGCGCGTGCAAGTCAGATTCGTTGCTCAGCAGAAACACCCACTCAGTGACAATGATGAACATGGCTGGAGCAACTAGTTGGTTGGACAGACAGCTCGGTGTCCAGTTTGGTCAGTTTTGGTGATAATTAACGGATGGCACTGATGGCACCAGTTTCACTTCGGTTCGAAACATTTGCTAGTGCCATTTTGTTTTTCCAAAAGCACTCCTTTGACGCTGCACAAGCGCTTGCAAAGGCGGGCTTTTAGCAAATGTCTTAAGCCTTGTGCCAATAGTTTTGCATGTGATCTGCGCTTTGGCTTCTCATGTTCACCTAAGTTAGCAAATGCAATTACAGGCCTTTTTGGGCTGCCCTGTGTGCATGCCTGCCTTCGCCAGGTGATTCAGCTATTTGTTGCTTTTGCAGCTGAGAGGCTTCCATCAAGCCAGCTTCCAGGACCAAGTGATCAGAAAAAAAAATAGATGACACGCCACAAACACTGACAAACACATGCGTTCAGAGCATTCAGAGCTCGGCGGCTGAGTGGCACAGAGTCAATGTCGACGGATTGATGATTCTGCTGGATGACTAGCGGGGTGTTCCCCCAAAAGGTGAATGACTCCTTTTGATTTGGGATACCCCCTATTCATCAAGGAAGGGTTGTTCAATCCTGGGTTCCTATTAAAATACGGGTTGCACCAACTGCCGGGCAAGCTGATGCACAGCAGCTGAAGCGCGCAGAAACTTGCACAGGGCTCCTTAAAAGATACATGTTGCAACCATTTGAAACATGGCTTTGTCAACACCCCATTTACAAGGCAATGTTCAGGTGTATAATGTAAGGATCCTTGTTGCAAAGGCTGGCTTGCAAGCACAGCCTCCCAGCATGCCGACTTTCTCACAGATGGGCCATGGCCCTTTCAGCGCTGAACGGCGCAGTTTGCGACACCTCCTCTGCTACTCAGCTGCGGCTACGGGGTGCTTTGTTGTTTTTAACGCGACCTTTTGAGCTGTTTGAACGGGAATTGAAAGAGACACCGGCGTTTTGGGAGTTCACAGTTTAAGTACACTGGCATTTCGGGGGTGTCATGCTACTCATGTGACAGGTGAGGGGTGGCATGGCTCTCGGCAGAGGCCGGCAATATTCGGCGATAGCGCCAAGACGGTTGTTTTCCTGTAGCGGGCAAAATGCAGGGAACCTCTATCGGGTCAAAAGCGTAGCGACAAAAACTGCTGCTTTAGAAAGAGAGAGCAACGGAGCGATGTCGGCTTTGAGCTTTTCAAGTTGGCCTTTTTTCGGTGCTACAGTGGGGAGAGGGTGTTTGCATGCGTTTGATGTGTGCGCTGCTTTTTACCCACAGTACTGTTTCATTAGCTCCAGCATGCAGGCCTGGGTGCTTATCCAACAAGCAGGACGCCAGGCATCGATCTCTCCTGAGTAGGCATCCTGTAAATAGATTCCGTGATCTGATAGCCTTCAACGCAACAGCCCAGAGATTCTGGTGAGCATAAATGAGGTGGGAAGGTGGAACAATCACAATGTCGAGAAGTGCCGTGCCGGGGTTTGGAGGAATGTCAAATGGTACGCTTGACACGGGGGTGCCACATGATGGCTTTTTAATCGGATGCTGCTCTGGGGGACTGGTGCCGTTTAAGGGGCACGAAGGTTTTGCAACACTTCTGGGCTCTCGTGACGTGAGAGAACCCCATTGGTCATATTGAGGTCGTCCCTTTTTTGTCGCTGTTTGACCTTTGGGGAGGCAAGAACCAGAAAGCCCCCAAAAGGCTTCCAGGAAGCCTTCCATAGCCCCTCAGGTGTTCTACAAACCTTTTTCAGGATGATGGGAGGGTCAGCCTTTGGCTTCCCATCAGAGCCTTGGGTGTGGCAGGCAGGTTTCCCTACACTCCCTACCAAGTTTAAACCTCACTGCGTGCCAATGTTTGTGTTCGGTTCCTCCCTGAGTTCCTGGACATATTTGTTGGGGCTGTGCTAGGTGAAGGACATTACGCTGCTGATCCACTGCCGGACCACCAAGCGCTCTGGACCCAAAGTCTGCGAGTTGAGGCGGCCCTTGCTGCAAAACTACGGGGCCTTCTTTGCAGAGGCGCCTTCGCGGCAGTGGGGAGCCAACTGGCCGCGGGTCAGAAACAGCGGTGCCCTGGTGGCTTCATTTTGACCCGTACTGAACTTGCCATCTTGCGAAAGTATGGAGCTCGCCACAATGATGTGGGTCCTTTGGGGGATGGATCCCGAATGTCAGGTGCTGGAATTATGTTTTATTGTTTGTTGTTTTTGTGCAAGTTTCTTCACCGGCGCGCTGATCGGGAGTAGAACAAGCATTTTATCCTTCAGGATCCCTTTGGGGTTGACTTTGCAGGGGTGCCCTTGTCACCAAAACGGCATCGATCGTTTAAAAAAAGACTACGAAAAATGCATTCAGGGTGGCGCTCCGATGAACAAGGTGCATTTAGGTTCGGGAAGCTGGCGCAACTGAACCGTCCAAACTTCAGGATCAACTTGTCTTTGCTTTTTTGGATGGTATGACTCAGTCGGTTCCCTGCCCGTCCCAAGCACCAGATGCTGCTTTTACACACCAAGGGTCAACGATGTCCGGCTGCTGCTTGTTGGCTTTCATCAAGTGGTATGAATTCAGTGAGGCTTTTCGGGGTGCACAAGCTATGAGCCTGGTGGCGACGCTGCCGTGGCCGTGGTGGGTCCAATCAAGCAGGTCACAACTACAGACTACTTGTACTACTGCTACTGCTACTTCTTTTCGTTCTTCCTCTCTTTCTTCTCATCCTCCTCCTTGTTGCTGCCACCACTGATGCTACCACCACTGCCGCCACTGCTACGGCGTTTTGTCAACAATGTCGCCATCACGGGTAGTGCCAGCACAAGGAGCACACTCGGACCATGTTTACCACTAATGCCACGTTTCGGGTTGCTTGGATTCTGCGGGCATAGTGCCTCAGGGGCCTGACAGCTTACGGCTTTTGAATGCAGGGAAGGTGCGGCAAGCAACGGTCCGTGCAACTCAGGTGCGATGGCTGCTGAGCGAAGATGCTAATCTGTCAGCGTGGCCCATGGGCCATCATTGCGCACCCCGGGGCGACCCTTACTGGTGCGTGGCACAGGTGCCGGCCGGGCAATGGGCGGGGCTGGTCGCTTGGTTGGGGCATGCTGCACAAGCACCTCTGCGAGGGAAACTAAGTTCAATCGTTTTTGCACATGAGCCACGGGACTACCGCACTGTGGACAGCCTGTAGTCAGAGAATAGGCAGGAGCTGATGGAGTTTGGACATCCCGCAGAGTTTTTCGCTAAGAAGGTCCTACAAAGATCTTTCCTCAGCTTTGCTTTCCACCCTAGCGGCCCTAGCGTCAGCTGGGATGTCCAAGCCTCATCCACTTGCACAGCCAGGAGGTGTAAAGAAGTGCATTGGCTAAGACTGGCAGTTTCCTGGAAGGCCATTTCTTTTGAAGGCGGCCCTTTCTCTTTTTTTGTGAGGATGAATAGCCCTTACAAGTTGGACATCTTGCAGTCGGACACTTTCCTGGCACGTCATCCTGAAAGAAATGATTTCCAAGCATACCTACCCTCACTTCCCCAGAATGACCATGAATTACAATAAGGAACCAGAAAAGTGGATTGGTGGACATGACTCCCCAGCATGATGTCCAAGGGCCCCAGGAAGGCACGTCTTCCAACCATCCTTTTGACGTCTTGGCCTGCAGGTGGCAAGGAACCTCACCACCAGAGGTCTGCTGTACATGCACTTCGACGCTGCAGCTTGGCACTTCGGTTCGGATCTCAAACCAAGGTGAAATGACCTTCTTGCCCGTGCTTTAGGTCTCAAAAGGTTGACCTCTCTCTATTGGGTCTTTGGAGGCGATTTTATCGGGAATTGAAGCTTCGGCGGCCAACAGCCGCACCGAATCCATTTGCAAAAGTGCCAACCAACTCCCCCACTCGGTGTAGGGAAAAGTGAGGGCTAGCTGCACCTGAAAGTTGGTCTTGTTCCAAAAGGGGAGCTCCAGAATGGTTTTCCTGTGGGCGTCCCTAAAGCCATAGACACGGGTGCATTTTGCAGGCCCAAGCTGCAGCAAAATGTATAAAGAAAGTGGTTGCAAAATAGAACAAGCGACCTCCACAACGCAAGGGACTAAGCAAGTCCACACAATTCTCTTGTGATCATGACTTAACTTGGGTGTAAGATACCCGTCACATTCCCATTCTAGTTGGAGTCAACAAGCAAATGGGGAGCCAGACCAATTCAAATGAATCAGTCCGACCCCAAATTTCCGCTTCAGTCAGCCCTCACCTGTCCTTCGGTTCTGGCACATCACCTCATGAAGGAGGGAGGGGCCCAAATAAGCCCTTATTAAGCTTTTCATGCGCCCTTGTTTAGGCTTATTTGCCCCCCCCCCCTCCCTCCCACCTCCCCCCCCTCAGCCCCTCTGACAAGTAGGTCACTTGCTGAGTTTTTTCTTGGGGACCCCCCCCCCCTCAGCCCCCTGTGGCAATTAGGTCACTTGAAACGTCGGGAGAAGAAACGGGCCACGCGGAACGTCCCGAGGTCATCTCCCCCTGCCGCTTTGCCGTGGCCTTCGACGCGTCAAAGGTGGGGATCTTCAAAGGGGAGGTCCAGTGCCTTTGGAGACCTGGCCTCATAGCAAACGTTTGAGGGAACTGGTTTGTTGTTTTGTTTTTTGTTTGGGGGGCGGGGGGAGGGGGTGAAGTTTGCTTTTT